CAGGAAGTGAGAGGACCAGATGCCATGATCTTAGTTTTCTTAATGTTGAGTTTCAAGCCAACTTTTGCACTCTCCTCCTTCACCTGCATCAAGAGGCTCTTTAGTTCCTCTTCACTTTCTGCCATTAGAGTGGTATCATCTGCATATCTGGAATACCTTACAAGGATGTAAATGACTCTCTAGGCATCCCCTGCAATACAAGCATCCAGTTGGAAGGGGCCAATCATTGGAACCCTGCTCAATGCAGCAAATGCAACTAATGCGGTTAGTGTAAAGTGCTCAATCTCACCTCCGACAGGTACATTATCGGGATTGTGTTAGGTGGTTGTCACCAGCCACTGTTTCTTGGCATCACTCTCCAGACGATGCAAATAACCACAGTGGACCGCGTCTGCCTTGGCAGCCCCGCTTTTTTCAAAAGCGGCTTTAGGATCGTTTTGCAGGCGGGAGGCGGTCCGAGTCCGCGGATGAGTGGGGCTGCCGCTGCGGGAGCGCCCGGGGCCCGCGAGGTCTGCGGCAAACGGTCCTCGCGGCGCAGAAGGCGCCCCGCTCTTCTCCCGCAAGAGCGGCCTCGACCACCCCCCCGGGGGCTGCTGCGGCGACCCTCAGCCCCGCGCAAGGCAAGGCATCTTGCGAATGCGCCGCCCGGCAGCTCCCGCCGCCCAGCAGAAGCGCGTCCACGCAGAGGCCGGCCGTGCAGGCGGAGGCTCCCACGAGGACCCACCCGCGGGCCGCTGCGCTCCTGCCCGGGGCTCCCGCGCGCAGGCGGGCGGAAACTGCTCGGCGCGGGCGCGCGCAGGCGTCCACGCAGGCGCGCGGCGGAGGGGGAGGGGCTGCTCCTGCCGCGCGCGGGGCCGAGCGATGCGGTCCCCCTTTTGCCGCGCGCGCCACTTCTCCGCCTCCCCTTTAAGCGAATCCGGACGACCGTCTTTTTTGTCCTCCGTCAGGAAGCGTCCGTAGCAGGGCCCGAGGGGGCGGCGGCGCCGACTCTGACTGACTGACTGACTGACTGACTGACTGGCGGGCGTGCGGGCGGGCGGGCGGAGCGGGCAGGCTGCCCGGCGGTTGCGGGAGCTGCGGTCCGGAGGGCGCGGGAGCGGCGCGGGATGTCCGGCGGCTGGGGCCGTGACATGATGGACTACGGCGGCGGCGCCGGGATGTCCGCGGGCGGCCGGGGCGGCGGCGCGGGCGACGGCCGCATCTACGTGGGGAACCTGCCGGCCGACGTGCGCGAGAAGGACCTGGAGGAGCTCTTCTACAAGTACGGCCGCATCCGCGACATCGAGCTGAAGAGCAAGCGCGGCCTCGTGCCCTTCGCCTTCGTGCGCTTCGAGGACCCGCGGTGCGTGAAGGGCCGGCCGGGGGCGAGTGGGCGGGCGGGCGAGCGGGCGGACGGACGGGCGGCTGCGCGGGCCCCGGAGGCCGCCGC